GCCAAAAACTGTTTTGGAGAAACAAGACCCGCCCTCTTAGATTCAGGCACCGCCCCAGAGACAAGACCCGCCCACGTGGAGACCTGCTCGGCCTGGAGCACGGGGGGTCTGGAAAGGAGCCAGGTTGTCATGGAGACGGATTAACGAGGAGGGCCCTGTGGAGGCTGAAGCTCCGCCCACCTCACCTCCAGTCCCACCCTTTCCCTTCTGAGACAATAGCGAAGGGGACTCGCCCGTTTCCCCCAGGCTCGATCCTGTACCTAACTCCTCTCACTGTAGCCCCATCTCATAGATGTGCTAACTGAGGCTCCGAAGGGGGGAGGCAGGATCTCTCTCTCTCTTCAGGGAGCCAATTACTGGGCTGAAGCTGACGACCCCCTCGCAGCTGATCAGTGGAGCCAGCCACCTGCACGCTCACCTGAGCTCCTCATTGCCCCACCGCCTCAGCCTTCTCCCCTCAGGGTGCCCCCTCTCCGGAAGCCCCAGCGGCGCCCCTCCTCACTCCTCATCCACTTTTCTGTGCGCGGCTTCGTGCTGACGGGTGGGCATTTCAGCAAACCGGCCAAGCAGACGCTTGCCCTCAGGGAATTATTTCTATTCCGGTGGAGGGGGGGGATAAGCAATCAGTGGGTAATCCACGAGTAGCCCAATGCTGCTTTGCGAGAGGAGCAGGTTGAAAATTAAGGCAGGGTAAGGACCAGAGGGTGACGGGAGGGCTCTTTTAGCTACGGCGGACGGGAGAGGTGTCTCTGAGGACAGCTGAAAGAAATGATGGGAATAAGGGAAACTTTATGGAAGTCTAGGGACAGGGCATTTCGGGGAGGGAGAACGGCACGTTCAAAGGCCCTGGGGTCCACAGAGAGCAAAAAGGGTGGTGTGGCTGGAACAGAGAGCGAAGCAGGGCTCAGAGAGAGGTGGCAGTCAGTTGAGTGAGGAAGGCTCCAGGGGCCTTACAGGGAGGGGTGAGGAACGCGGGAGGAAGGGATGAGGAGCACTGGAGGCTGTTCAGCGCTGGAGTGACAGGCTGTGATTTCTGGCTGCGGGAAACTGTCCGGGAGGTAGAGGGACTGCAAGCCGGAGAGCCAATGAGGAGGCAGTTGCAGTGGGCCTGGCCCCCAGGAGTGCAGCCCTGAGTCAGCGCCAGGTCCCGCTCCCTGCCCTGGAGGCCTTCTCTCTCACCTGGGCCCTCGCCCCCCACCCCTGCTCCCAGCCTGGGTCTCCCCTGCATCCGGCGGGGCCTCCACGCGGGTCCCACAGGAATTTCTCTGAAACACTAATCGGATCATGTGACTCTCCAGCTTAAAACCTTGTCAATGGCTTCTCAGTGCACTAGGAATGCGTCCAGCATTCAGCCTGGGCTCAGAGGGGACCCAGCGGCCCGTGCAGCTCCCGGCCTCTCTCCACGGCGCTGCCGCCTCTGACGTCCCAATCCACGGCCCTGCCCCAAGACCCCCACCCCGCCCCACCCAAACCATGCTGTTCTCCCTGCTTGACGTTTCATTTCCCACTTCTCCATTCCTGAATTTTCCTTCCTCCCTTTTTTTTTAAGGAAAAAAAATGTTAAGCCTTTAAAACATAGATAATGAAATAGTCACACAGAACCCCCTAGTTATAGACTCAGAAGAACTGGAAACAGCCATTCAGACAAAAACGTATTCTCAAACATTCATAACAGCGCTATTCACAATAGCAAACAAAGGCAGAAATGACCCAAATGCCCATGGACAAATGGGACCGACAGAATGCGGTCTACCCACGCAGCGGAGTATTATTCAGCCACGAAAAGGAAGGACATACTGATACATGCCACAACATAGATGAATCCCGACATGCAAAGTGAAAGAAGCCAGTCAGAAAAGATCACGTATGGCGTGGCTCAGTCGAGGTGAAATGTCCACAGTAGGCAAGGCCACGGAGACACAGAGCTGACCACTGGCGGCCAGGGGCTGGGAGGGGAGGGAATGGAGAATGACTGCCTCACGGATCTAGATTTCTGTTTCGGGAGACGAAAAAGTTCTGACACTAGATGTTGGGATGGTTGCATGACATCGAGAAGGTACTTAGTGCCACTGACATCCATGCCACACCGACCCCAATTACCATCAGCTTCGAAACATTAGAGATACCCTCACTCTCCACAGGCGCCGCTTGGATCTGATTGCTTCTCCCTGCTAAAAAGTACCCCCTACCCCGGGGCACCAGGGTGGCACAGTTGGTTAAGCCTCTGACTTTGGCTCGGGTCATGATCTCAAGGTTTGTGACTTCAAGCCTGCGTCAGGCTCTGCGCTGACAGCTTGCAGCCTGCTTCAGATCTGCCTCCATCTCTCTGCCCCTCCCTTCCTCGCTCTCTGTCTCTCTCTCAAATATAAAAAATAAAACAAAAAGGTACCCAACCCAAATTTGGTGCTTGTTATTTCTGTGGTATTTTTAGACTTTCACTCATATGTACATATCCTTTAAAAAGTATGGGGCGCCTGGGTGGCTGAGTCGGTTAAGCGTCCGACTTTCGCTTAGGTCATGATCTCACGGTTCGTGGGTTCGAGCCCCGCGTCGGGCTCTGTGCTGACTGCCGGCTCAGAGCCTGGAGCCTATTTCAGAGTCTGTATCTTCCTCTCTCTCTGACCCTCCCCTGCTCATGCTGTCTCTCTCTCTCTCTCCTAGAAATAAATAAAAATATTTTTAAAAAAGTAGTATTATTGGCCAGGTGCTTTTAAAAATCAAGCTGTAGGCCTCTGTCATCTGTCCCATCTCGTTGTGAAATGCAGACTCCCAGAGACTCATTTAGCTTTGAAATGTTTTAGTACCTCACTTTACCATTCTTTAAAATGGGAGTAGGGGCACCTGGGTGGCTCAGTGGATTGAGTGTCTGATTTCGGTTCAGGTCGTGATCTCATGGTTCATGGGTTTGAGCCCCACATCGGGCCCTGCCCTGACAGCTCGGAGCCTGGCGCCTGCTTCGGATTCTGTGTCTCCCTCTCTCTCTGCCCCTCTGCTGCTCACACTCTTTCTCTCTCTCTCAAAAATAAATAAACATTTACAAATAAAAGAAAATAAAATGGGAGAATAATGTGACCCACTTCATAAGGCAAGGAGAAACAACTAGGTTTGTATTTGCAAGGCACTTACAAGGCTACGTTATTAGTAATTTTCATTTTATTTATTTTATTACCCTCCCCCACCCATTTATTTCTTGTACCTTTACTTTCTTGAATATGGAACATATTCACATGGTTTCAAATTCAAAAAGTAGGAAAGGATAGAGTGTAGTAAGTTTCAGTTCTGGGAGTTAGACAATGTTGCTAGTTTCCTGTCTTCTCAGACGCAAACCACTGATAAGCACAGATAGTTAGAACAGGTTACAGACTGTTTTCCACCTGCCTTTTCCCTGCCTTCCCTTCACGTTATCACTTGGAGCCTTTCATATTTTTACCCAGCAAGTTTCTTCATCCTATGATGATGATGATGATGACGGCGATGACGACGACACATAGCATTCCGCTGAGCTGATCAATCATGACTTATCACTTGAATCCCCTACCCATGGGCATTTAGCCCATCTCCAGTCTTCTGCAGTGCTGTGCAATACTGCACCGATTAACCCGGTACAGATGTCATTTTGCATGTTTCCAACTAGGTCTACTGACAGATAAACTCCTGGAATTGCTCACTTGTTCAGGTTGTTCCAAATTTCACCCACCCTGGGGTGCCTGGGGGGCTCAGTCTGTTAAGCACCTGACTTTGGCTCAGGTCATGATATCACGGTTCGTGGGTTTGAGCCCTGCGTCGGGCTCTGTGCTGACAGCTCAGAGCCTGGAGCTGCTTCAGATTCTGCGTCTCCCTCTCTCTCTCTGACCTTCCCCTGTTCATGCTGCTTCTCTCTCAGAAATAAATAAAACATTAAAAAAAAAAAAGAATAAATACAGGTCAAACTTGAGTCTCCCCAGCCATGTATAAGAGGTCCCGTTTCCCACACTCTTGCCAATAATGTTGAGCATGTATTTCACCTTAAACAACCAGCGACTGGCTGCGGGCACACCTCCACGGCACACCTTTTCTGCTCAGCTTCAGGTATTCGCGATGTCGTGTGGAGGCATATGTCTTTCTCCTTCCATTCACTCAGCCTTCTTGTCCCCAAGTCTTTCATCCAGCAAGTTTCAGCTGAAACAGTGTTGCCTCCTGGGAGACCTTGAGGACGGCTCTCGCCCCAGTGTGGGATCAGCTTCGTGCCGTCTCTGTTCTCTGAGTTCCCACCAAACCCTCTTTCCTGCGCCAGAGCACATTTCCCAGGAAGGCAATCAGATCTGTGTCTGGCTGCGACCTCCGTCAGACGGTGAGCTTCCTGCACACAGGGTCCAGTGGCCTCTGTCTTTGTCACTGAAGCTCCAGCACCAAGGACAGAGCCAGCCCATAGTAGGTGCTCAGTAGATCTCCGCAGCTTAGGATGGAGTCAGTATGTGTAGCAAGATATATATGCAGACCGCACTTACAGTAGCTGCTCAGTACATAGTGGTCTCAGGAGCTAATGAACGTGCGCGGGGCTTATCACGGAGGGGGACACTGAGGCCAGGAGAAGGGGACATCGCTTGCTCGGGCAGCCACGCGATGGCTGGACTCAGGTTCTGGTCCAGAGTGCTCCCACTTTCCCTGAGGCCTCTGCCACCGCCTCTTTCATCGCGGTCCCCTGGCACCCCGTCGCCCGGCACAGTGCCTGGCACAGACAGGACCCGATAAATGTGTATTTGTTGAAGCCATGAATGAATATGTGTGTCTGTTGGGGTGGGGAGGGGGGCCGGACCCGGCCTCCCAGGCCCACAGCCCCCTCCCCGAGCAGGACCCAGGAATCCAAGCCGCCCTCCCTCCCCGCCCCCTGGGTCCCCTCGACCTCCCGCTTCCGGCTTCCCAGCCAGTCTTTCCTCTTTGGGGCTCCGTGGAAAGGCCGGTTTCCGGGGGGAAGGCTTAGGCGGTGACACCGAGCCCAGCCTCCTCCACCCCCCACCACGCTCGGGCCCTCCTTCCCTCCCCGCCGCCACCGTCCGCGTTTGGCCGGCCTCGGGGAAGGAAGAAAGGAGCGAAGGAGGCGGAGGTAAGAACCCGGCGCCCGGAGATCAGGGCCCAGGCCCCGGGCCCCGAAATCGGCGAGGCCTCGGCTTGCGGCCCCAATTCTGCTGATCAGGCCTGCGGGGAACCGCAAGCTGGGCCCAGGGGGAGATCGCCCCCCCCCTTGGGGACCTAGGGCTCTGCACCCCAGCAGCCTTGGTGGGGGGCAGGCGTCCAGGGGCCTGGCCCCCAGCTGCCTCCTCCCTGGAGCATTCCAGGAGCTGAGCCCCCACCCTCCTCCTCTCCCTTGTGTTAGGAGCCCAGCCCCCTCCCTCAATCCTCTCTGCCGCGGGGACCCAGGAATCCATACCCCTTCGGCACAGAAGAGGATCCCAGCCACCTCCCAGACCTGGTCCCAGGCCCGGCGCCACCTCTCCCAGCCCCAGGAGGCCGGCCGCCCAGCCTTCTCTCTAGCCAGGAGTCTGGGCCAGCCCTCCTCCCCCTGGCCTCTCCCAGACCCTGGTCTGGGCACCCCCATTCCATTTCCGGGGCCTCGCAGTGTCGAGTTCCTCCCCCTCCACTCGGGCACCACAGGCTGGTTCCCAGCCCCTCCCTAAAGGCTCCAGCCGGGCCCTGGAGAGGCAGCACTTGGCTCCCTGTCTCCTCCCCGGCCCTGACTCTGCCTGGCTGTGTCTCCCCACTCCCACCCTGCTGTGGCTCTCTGATCTCTGTGTCTGCTCCCTCTCCCCCTGAATCTCTTTGTTTTGTCTCCATCTCTGTCTCTGCTGGGAGTTCCCATCTCTCTCTGCTGTCTCCCGCCACCCTGGCCGACGCTTCTGCTGCCCTCTGTCCTCTGTCCCCAAGTCCGTCTCCCCTCTGTCTTCTTCCGGCTTTCCGGCGCTCTGCTCTGCCTGGCTGAATGTCTGACCCTGTCTGCACCTCCGTGTCTCTCTGTCTCTGCTTCTCTGCCTCCCTGCACACATCGCCCTCTACACCCAGCACCCTCCCCACAACGTCTCATTGTCTCCCCTCTCTCCCTACAGGCATGGATCCGCAGCCGCCTCCACCCGCCCAGGGCAGCCCCCCTCACCGGGGCCGGGGCCGGGGCCGCGGGCGCGGCCGGGGTCGGGGCCGGGGCCGGGGCCGGGGGGGCGCCGGAGCCCCCCGGGCCCCCCTGCCCTGCCCCACCTGCGGCCGCCTCTTCCGCTTCCCCTACTACCTCTCCCGGCACCGGCTGAGCCACTCGGGGCTCCGGCCCCACGCCTGCCCGCTGTGCCCCAAGGCCTTCCGCCGGCCCGCGCACCTGTCGCGCCACCTGCGCGGCCACGGGCCGCAGCCCCCGCTGCGCTGCGCCGCGTGCCCGCGCACCTTCCCCGAGCCCGCGCAGCTGCGGCGCCACCTGGCCCAGGAGCACGCGGGCGGCGAGGTCGAGCTGGCCATGGAGAGGGCGGCCAAGGAGGCGGCCGAGGCCGGCCGGGGCGCGCAGGCCGCCGGCGCCGAGCAGCCCGGGCCCGCGGCCGCGGGGGCCGCCGACCAGGAGGCCGCGTGGCCCGACGCGTGGCCCGCGGGGGAGCCGGCCCCGCCGGCCGCGCCCGCCAGCACCGAGCCCCGCGAGCCGCGGGAAGAGGAGGCCGAGGCCGGCGCGGCCGAGCTGCGGGCCGAGCTGGCGCTGGCGGCCGGGCGTCAGGAGGAGAAGCAGGTCCTGCTCCAGGCCGACTGGACGCTGCTGTGCCTCCGCTGCCGCGAGGCCTTCGCCACCAAGGGCGAGCTCAAGGCGCACCCGTGTCTGCGCCCCGAGGGGGAGCAGGAGGGCGAAGGGGGGCCCCCGCCGCGCCCCAAGCGCCACCAGTGCTCCATCTGCCTCAAGGCCTTCGCCCGGCCCTGGTCGCTGTCCCGCCACCGGCTGGTGCACTCCACCGACCGGCCCTTCGTGTGCCCGGACTGCGGCCTGGCCTTCCGCCTCGCCTCCTACCTCCGCCAGCACCGCCGCGTGCACGGCGCGCTCAGCCTCCTGGCGCCGCTGGCCCCGGCGGGCAGGAAGGACGACAGGGCCGCGGGCGCACGGACCTCGGGGAAGGGGCCCGAGGGGGGCGAGGCGGCCGAGCGCGGGGGCGCCTCGGAGGGCGGGGAAGGCGGGCAGAACGGAGGGGACGCCGCCCCGGCGCGGCCCCCCGCCGGGGAGCCCCGCTTCTGGTGCCCCGAGTGCGGCAAGGGGTTCCGGCGCCGGGCGCACCTGCGGCAGCACGGGGTGACCCACTCGGGGGCGCGCCCCTTCCAGTGCGTGCGCTGCCAGCGCGAGTTCAAGCGCCTGGCCGACCTGGCGCGCCACGCGCAGGTGCACGCGGGCGGCCCGGCCCCGCACCCCTGCCCGCGCTGCCCGCGCCGCTTCTCGCGCGCCTACAGCCTCCTGCGCCACCAGCGCTGCCACCGCGCGGAGCTGGAGAGGGCGGCCGCGCTGCAGGCGCCCCCGCCGCCCCCGCCGCCGCCCGCCGCGCCCGAGGACGCGCAGGGGCTCCCGCTGCCCGTCGCACGCATCAAGGAAGAGCCGCCCTCCCCGGGGACCCCACCCCGGTCGCCGCCCCCCGCGCCCCCCGTCTTCCTCAGCGCCTCCTGTTTCGACAGCCAAGACCATTCAGCCTTCGAGATGGAGGAGGAGGAGGTCGACAGCAAGGCTCACCTGCGCGGCCTGGGCGGCCTGGCCTCCTGACCTCCACACCCAACCCTCCGCCCCTCCATTTGGCTCCCGGTTTGCAATACGGAGGGGGGACGTCCGAGAGTAGGCGCCTCCTCTGTCCACCCAGCCCTCCCCTTCCAGCCCTCAACACTAAGGGGGGTGGGCCCTGGACCGCCCCGCCCTCCCCATCGCCCGCCCCCAGGCCCCCGGACGCTGGTTAGGAACCGCTTGCCCAGCAGGCGTCTGAAGGCAGTACACTCAGAGAAAAGGAGGCGGAGAAAACTGGCCAGAGAGATGGAGACTGGGGGGGGGGGGGGTCCCCTGCCTGGCTGTCCCTCACCATGCACACTGGACACCGTCACCTCTTTGGAACTGCCAGACCCTGGGGGTCCCCAGTGAGCAAAGGTCCATCCCTGTCCCTTTGTCTGTCTGTGAATAAATGTGAGTTCGTGAAAAAGGAGAGTGAGGCCGTCTATGGGGAGCTGCAGGCGGGCCCCGGGGGGAGCTGGGATTCGTCCAGCCGACTCTGAGCTTGGGTTCCAAGGAGGAAGGATCCAGACTCACATCAGGGAATGGGAGGGAGGGGCTCAGCCAGCAAGAGACTCGTGAAGAAACGGGAGGGAAACAAGCCAGGTTACCCGTGGCCCAGGCATCTTCGGGGCGCCCCGTGCCCCCTTGTGCACTGTCTGCATGTATTCCTCTTTTTTAGAGTTTTTTTTTTTTTTTTTTTGAGAGAGACAGAGACGGCACGAGTGGGGGAGGGCCAGAGAGAGAGAGCGCGAGAGAATCCCAAGCAGGCTCCCTGCCAGCGCAGAGCCCAACAGGGACTCAGACTCAGAAACTGAGATCAGGACCTGAGCCGAAACCGAGAGGTGGGTCGCTTAACCGACTGAGCCCCCGGGTGCCCCTCTGCACGCACTCCTTCAGCAAACACTGACCAGGCCCAGCGAGGGGCCCTGGGGGTGCCGGAGAGGAGAAAACCACCGCCCCCTGTAGATCCGCACCGTCCAATAGAGTTTAGCCACCAGCCACGTGTGGCCATTTCCATTTAGATTTAGAATAAGTAACTTCATTTAAAATAAAATACTTAAAAACGAATACAAGTTCAGCTCCTCAGTCACACTGTTTCCAGTGTTCAGGGGCCCCGTGTGGCCGGCGGCTAGGGCTGCCCTGTTGGACAGCACAGATCCAGAACATTCTATCATTCCAAGAAGTTACCTTGGGACAGAGCTGGTCCAGATAACAAACCGACCTGCCTTAGAACACCGGTATCGGTAAGGGTTACTGAGAAAGCCACGCGGCACTGTGACGAGTGAGCATGGTGGGGACAGCAGGCCCTCTGGTGAGATGACCTTGACCTGGATGGAGACCCGGTGGAGGAAACAGCAGGGACAGAGGCTGTGAGGTGGGTTGGTGCTGCATGTTTGAGAAACCACAAGGAATTGGGGGTCGGAGTTGGGAAGTGTCATTTTCTGCAAACAAATGTGTGTTGTTGTGTTATTTGCCCCCACCCATTTGTTTGGGTCTTAAGGAGTGAGGTGTGTCCAAGCCAATCTTCCTAAAACCCCTTCTGTTGACATCCTGCCTTCCTCCAGCACCTTCACTGGCTCTCTCTTGCCCCTTTGCAAACAATGATAGCCACCACTTAGGTATCTTTATGCCTGTAAGGCCAGGAAAAGAGGGGCGACATATCCTGGCTTTCCAGGGCAACGAATGGGAGACAAGGTCATGCTCTGGTGTGACGGAAATGCCAGGCGGAGGCAGGGATGGACAGAGGGAAGCCAGAAGGACAGAGGTTGAGGGTCTAGGAAGGGAGATGATTGACGCAGAGCTTTGCAGGATTCCCCTTGTCAAAGATGTAACACATCTTGGCTGAGTCTTTGAGACAGCGCCTGGCACATAGTAGGGATTCAATACATGTTCATCTGTGTGATTATCGCTGCACCACCCAGGCCTGGATGCTGGGGGTAGAGTGACAAGTGAGAGCCACTTGGTTACCAGCCTTGTGGAACGTAAGACCAGCAGACGACACGGACCATAATCAAATATTGGGACAAATAAATTGGGATTTCCTAATGAGACAGTTCTCCGACAAACTAGATCCTGTAACTAGGTGTGAGGAGCTGGGGAGCTGGGGGTGCTTTCATGCCATCAAGGCTACTTCCCTCCCCAGGAACCTTCAGCGGCTCCCTATTACCACATCCAAACACGGGCTCCCATTGAGTGAGAACCTACCAGGGCCAGACACCTTCTCGGCACAATCACGCTGGATACAACTCGTGAGGGACGGGATTATACCCACTTTACAGAAGGGCAAACGGATTAAAGCGAACTTATTTGTCCTACTTTTGGAAATCACTACCATGAATCAAGCCCTTTGTATTCAAGGAGGTACTTTGTGGAAAAGGGTGAAAACAGTGGCTGCCATCAGGGAGGGAGTCATTGCTGCTGCTGCTTTGTTGTTTTCCAAGGCTGGTATAGACAGGGTCTCGGGGAATGCTCACCTCTCCATTGGGAATTAGGAAACATCCTCACCCTTTTCTAGGGGCAAAACAGCATTCAGAGAGGGAGTCCCTTTTCTAAAATCTCATAGCTAGGATATGGTGGGCGTGGAATTTGAACCCAGGTTGAACCAGCTCCACACCATGAATACCCTTAACTATGCCAATATAACCCTTGGGATCAGCGCCCACGCACACAGTCCCCTCCTTACATGCATCCCCGTCTCCAGGCCCTAAGGCATCAGACCCTCACCCCTCCACGGGTTTGCTCACCATCTGCCCCCCCCCACACACACACACTTACTCTGCCTTGAGGGTCTGCTGTATCCAGAGAGAAACATTCCTAGAAAAAAATACAGAACTTAGGGTGAGAAAAGTTCTCTAAAGCTGAAGCCCAGTTCTCCCATTTTGCAGACGAGAAAACTGATGTGTGGGACAGACACAGGAAATGATAAGACGCCCATGTGGTTATTACTCTTAGGAGGTAATAGTACGTGGTGTTCATGAGTCAAACCCTGTAGCTTAGTCGTTCCTTGTGCTGAGCATTTTACATTCATGACTTCAATCACATGTGTTCATAATCATACAAAACACATTTCTTGAGTGTTTACCCTCATCTGTTTCTAAAGGGATGACATGGATTAGGTCATTTAATCTTTTTTTTTTCTTTTAGGTCATTTAATCTTTACAATATCAATAGATAGATACTGTTATGGGCTCCAATTTTTTTCTTTTTTTTAATTTTTAAAATGTGTATTTGTTTTTGAGAGAAAGAGAGAGAGAGAGAGAGAGAGCAGGGAAGGGCAGAGAGAGAGGGAGACACAGAATCCGAAGCAGGCTCCAGGCTCTGAGCTGTCAGCACAGAGCCTGACATGGGGCTCGAACCCACAGTGAGATCATTGCCTGAACCAAAGTCAGACACTCAACCAACTGAGCCACCCAGGCACCTTTCCAAGTTTTTTTTTTTTCTTTAAAAATTTTATTGAGATATCATTTGTCTCCCATAGAATTTGCTCATTTTAAGTGCACAACTAACTCAAAGACTTTTAGTAAGTTTACAGGATTGTGCAACTATCACCAAAATCAAAGGTTAGGACATGTCCAGAATCTCCAAAACTCTCCTGTGCCCGTTAATATTCACTTCCCTTCCCCACCCTCAGCCCCAGGCAACCATGAGTCTCCTGTGTCTTGACAGATTCACCCTTCCTGGACAGTTCCTATAAATGGATCATAGTGTGTGGCCTTCCATGTCTGGCTTTGTTCACTAAATACTGTCTTTACGGCTCATCTACACCGCACGTTTTATCCGCACTCCATTCCTTTTTGTGTCTGAGTAACATTCCCTTGTCTGGATATTTTGCATTTTGTTCACCCTTTCATCTGCTGATGGACATTTGAGTTTTGTCTGCGCTTCAGCCGTTATGAATAATGCTGCTATGAACATGAATGTACTATCCTTCCTCTGGACATAGATTTTATTCTCTTGGGCAGACTCTCAGGAGCAGAATTGTTAGGCTCTGTGAGACACTCATCACTCTATCAGGGATAGATGAGGCTCCCCATGGGGGCCCCATCATCCGGAGAAGGAAGCTCAGGCAGTAAGTTGACACGCCCAGGTCTCTTGGCTCCTAAGGAGCAGATCTGTAAACATCTCCAGGCATTGCAATTCCAAAGCCTGTGCTCTTAGCTCTTACACAAAGACTCATTCTTACCTATTCATTCATTCATTCATCCTAAAACTCTTTTCTTTAAATCTTTGTTTGTTGGGGCGCCTGGGTGGCTCAGTCTGTTGAGCGGCCGACTTTGGCTCAGGTCATGATCTTACGGTTCGTGGGCTCGAGCCCCGCATCAGGCTCTGTGCTGACAGCTCAGAGTCTGGAGCCTGCTTCGGATTCTGTGTTTCTCTCTCTCTGACCCTCCCCTGTTCATACTGTCTCTCTCTCTCTCTCAGAAATAAATAAAAAAACATTAAAATTTTTTAAATGATCGTTTATTATTATTTATTTATTTATTTATTTATTTATTTATTTATTTTTGGGAGAGAGAGGGCAGGGAGAGGCAGAGAGAGAGGGACACAGAGGACCTGAAGCAAGCTCACACTGTCAGTGCAGAGACTGATGTGGGGATAGAACCCTTGAACCAGGAGATCATGACCTGAGCAAATTCGGATGCTTAATGGACTGAGATTAATGGACTACCCAGGCGTCCCCACCCTAAAACTCTGCTGAGCACTTGGCTATGTGCAAAGTACTGTGCTAGAGGTGGGGAAGACACAGACAAAGTTACATTTTGGTGGCAGGCACAGATAGACAAATATACTCAGGACACTGATTCAGCAGGTAGTCAGTCATTGAGCCCCCACTATGTGCTGGGCTCTGTCCTAGGTGCTGATCCCTCACTTGTTAATGAAACCCACACAAATCCCTGCCCACATGGGGTTTCCGTGGTAGAGGCAGGAGACAGACACAAAACCAAACAAACCCAGTAATTCACATAAAACATCTTAGTGGGGGCGCCTGGGTGGCTCCGTCAGTTAAGCATCCAACTCTGGGTTTTGGCTCAGGTCATGATCTGGCAGCTCATGAGATCGAGCCCCACATCAGGCTCTATGCTGACAGTGTGGAGCCTACTTGGGATTCTCTCTCTCTCTCTCTCTCTCTCTCTCTCTCTCTCAAATCAAATAGGTAAACTTTCATAAAACTATAAAAAATAATAAAAGAAAGCATCTTAGGAGGGGACTCATGCAGGAACTGATGAAGACAGGTCCCAGGGGAGGGCACAGCTGGTGTGAAGGCTTTGGCGGGAAGGTGACTGGTCTGTTCAGGGAGGACAGAGACCACCAGGAAGGAGAGAGAAGGAGGGAGAGAGCGGGGAGAAGATCAGGGAGCGTCTGGGGGTACAGATCTGGTAGAGAAACCACTAGGACTCTGATTTCTACTCTACTGAGTTGGGAAGA